GTATTGCAGTGAAGCACCTCTTAGGTGCATACTTGGGCAATCTAGTGTAGCATGCATGCAATGGTTCTTGTTCTGACAGCAATGGGGCTGGGGCGCTTCACGTATCTATCATTAGCATCGTTATGTGGCACTAACTCGCTGCTCCATAGGGCCACTGTTTCACCAGGTCTGTGGTGAAGTTTTCACCCAGTATTGCCGCATGCCACTCATAATCATCCTATTTTTAGAGTAGATGCAGGCTATCACTTTGAATTATCTAGTCAAAGTACATTAGGATATAGAGGACCACAGTAACGCCTCTAATTATATAAGATTTTGAATGAACTGAGTTTGAGTTATCGAGGTTTTGCTTTGCTTTAAAGGTGACATTTATTGCAATGCCTTTAATAGTTGCAAAACAATGATATTGTAAACTAAACACCCTAGTGGCCTGGCAGATTGTTTACTCTTGTGCTGCAGATTGAACCTTGGCAGGCTACTACTGTAGTTTTCTATTCCTGTAGCCCTTATGTAAGACCAAGCATGAAGCACTGATACTGTTCCAACGCTACCATGTTTATCTTCCGGCTTTTCATATGCCCCACTATTTAGTACTAATTTTGCAGCACATAATTGAGGACTCTCAAACAAGATGCATATGTTGCATAAAAGATGTGCTGCGTCTTATGGCCTATTCACACTGCGGAACATGTTTCCCAACAGCTGACCAACATGTTTCCCGACGTGTTGGTCAACACGTTGGTCAACATCTCTGTTGCCAACAGCAACGATGCTGTTTGGTGTGACAACTTTCAGCAACAAAAGGCAAGCGACAAAGTGTTGGCGACAGCATGTGTAGCCGCATTTTTGTGCCCGTGTTTTTTTTTTAAGTTTTATTTTTTATTATTATTATAACTATTATTATTATTATTTTTTTTTTTTTCTGTTTCGACATGCTCATGACGCAGCGCATGCTATGAAGCTTTATCTGGCTTCATCCCATTTATTTTCCTTGTGAAACGCCTGAGCTCTGTATGCCCCCAAGGGTGCACAACATTTCTTTTTTTATTGTAATTTACAAACTGCACGCTTCAGCAAAGGACACACAGCTTGTCATGTTGCTACTCTACAGAAGCTTCGGCTACCAGGGAGGATTCCGCTATACATGACATGGTGTTGTCTTTGCTTTTGTCGTGCAGTGTGTTGCTGTCAAGGGAACCTCTCACTGACAAAACTATCTCTGCCCAGAGTACAGACTGTTGGGCTAGCTTATTTGATTCTGTTATAACCATAGCACTTGTGTGATACAGACAAGAGGCACATTAAAGAATGCACCATGCAGTCCCTGCTGTTTTTGAATGCATCACATGAGTGCCATAGTCACAGTCGTAACTTTACCAAATGGTGGAGATTTGTGTGTTTGCTCATGCTCTTGGAGGTTTTTCAATGCAGGGTGAACATGGCAGCAAAATAAGCCTGCTTGTATGCATTTTCTCCTGTCATTGTTTTGGTTCACTGCATGCTACAAATCGTGAAGACTACCTGTCATAATAGCTCTAAGGCATTACTGACAGTCTTCAATAATGAGAGCACCTTTCTTGTATATGCACGGCTGCATGTCCCACTGGCAAAAGCAACCAAGCATAGGCATGCTCAAAAAATTTGGGATGAAGCCCTAGCTAAAGAGATATTTTGTTGCAGAAAACTGGTGGCACGAGTAAGATCACAGAGAAAGCTTATTGTAGCCATTGTTGCTTGGAAAGTATAAAAGAATCTGGAAAAAAGACAGGGATTGATATTAGACAGCAAAAATAGACAGCTTTTGCTTTAGTAATGCTCGCATGTTTCTAGCAAGTTTATCGGTTGGCCAAAAATTTATCTGCAGTGTGCTTTTCAACAATTGCGAGCTGCTTATTATAACAGAGTTATTGACGCCACGTTTTTGCGTGGTTGCGGATAGCGTTGGCCAACTTGTTGCCCAGTGTGAATAGGCCCTTAGGGAAGGGGTTCCCTGACAGAGTTCTTTGAAGACCATCAGTTTTGAATATTTATTATTTTGTTAGTGCCAAGTCAATGTGTGTGCCTCTCATTTTTTTTCCCCTTTTTCATTGCTTCAACAGCGTTATTTACTAGTGATGGCAAGCAGATGTGCAGTGCTAAGTAAGGAATCATAAATAGCTACATTTTTACTCTTTTTTTTTTCATACAATGTGCTTACTGTCACCAAAAACCACCATTTCAGATATATCATATATGCTCTCAGTGACCCAACTCTCAATGATGATAGGAGTACTGTTTGCTTCTGCGTAATGAAATGGTTGCAGCCGTTTTTTCTAATTGAGAATACTTGTTTTCTAGAGGCCATTCATCAGTATTTCTTTGTTTATTGTTTCTTTGTTTCTTCTTTGGTCACTTTTTTTTCTCTCTCTTTTGTGTTTATTAGCCCCGAGAATGAACACTAATGTTGATGCAGTCGCAGCGATGTGACGTCATGGCAAGGACACGTGTGCTTTGCCATGGATGATTGCCTTTTTTTGCAGTGGCCGTGTCCCCGCTTTTTTGCAATTCAGTGGTGCTTGCTCTTTGGTGTAAATCTCACATGGTAGAAGGTGAAAGTGTTTGTTACTACCTAAAGTTAACTAAGCTGTAGAAAGTTTGGACAAGAAGGCTTACTAGTGAGCAAACTGCTGTGTGAACGAAAGCTTCATTGTGAAATGATCATGCAGGGCTGCAAAACATTGTTTCCACCACATGTTTCAAGTAACCATTGCTAAGAAAACATTTCTGCTAAATTGTTCCCACTTTATAACAGCTTACCTCAGACTCTGCAGTTGATGCATTTGTCTCTCAGTATTACAAATAAAATTACGGTAAATGTGCATTAAATTTACTGTCATTAAATCAGAAAATTGGTAATTCTGTCGCATTCCCTGGTCTCGGCTAGCAACTGGCTGATCATTTAGTAGCATCAAACTCCTGTCAATTTGGTTAGTATATTTGGCCGCAGCTCGGTTAATTCTAACAATCCTTTGGATTACGGCAAGTGCGAAGCATTGCAAATGTGCGATGCAAAAAAGTAGAAACAGCTTTCGCAGACCACCGTAGCGAGGTGGCACTGTCCACATTGCCATCTTTATCAATTAGTCCTGCAGTTTTTTCTGCATGCAGATCTGGCACTCCTCAGCTTGATACTATGTGCGTGTAGTAGTATCACAAAAGTCAAACATGTCGCAAGCTATTGCAGATGAGCTTTCAACTGTAGCCGGCATGCTGCCATTAAAGATTCTTTGCTATGTTGTAATGGATGAACCATTGGTTGCCGGTCAGTTTACTTGTTAATGAACTAAGATCACATGCATGTGGTGGTGGTAATTCTTTGTATTAAGGGAGTGGTGCAGAGCATGTTGTGAGGTAATTAAATTTGGAGTCTCTGGCAACCCCATGGTCGCATTGTAAACAAAGTGGCAAGACAAAAATTGTAGCTTTTGCACTGCTCTTATACAAAGTAAGTATAACATTTACATATTTGTCAACAAAATGAAAGTTTGTTCATGTAGCAGGCATTAGTTTATGGTTCTCTCTACACTTTTGATAATTCAGTATTCATTTAATTAAAATACTATTTCTGGACCCTGTAAATCTAACTTAACAAGCTTTTACTGTACATAATTTCTAATTGACTAATTTGTCAACTACTTTGCAGTTTATCATGCAAGTTCCATGCACATCTGCAAATAAAATAGGTAATTCGCCAAAATTGTGTTCTCTGCTACAAGAGACTGTAGATGATTTCTCTAGCAAAAAAAAAAAATCTTAGCATATTTAATTAGAACTAAGAGACAAAAAAATCCAAGCAAAGCATAGCAAATGTTACTTGTAGTAATTGTGAACTCTTAAGATTTCTCCATTTTTTGTTTAGCAGCATATCTAAAAAATTCAACAAAGTTATAATACTAGTTACATAGAACTTTTGTAAAAATAGTAGTATTCGCAGCTAGTACAGGTTTCTTCTCAACTAGTCGGGAATTATGCAGGCATACCGTACCTTGCATGAACAGCTGGTTCAATTGATAGTCACATAACAAACTGTAATCTTTACTTGATTTGAATCACTAGTAGGTTTTGCTTGCCGAACAGACACCAGTAAGTTGAGCATTCGCAACTGTTGCCGTGGTGCACCTGACAACATAGCTCGCACAAAAAACTTTTATTTGTCTCAGTGAGATACAAACTCATCTCTCATGCTTTTTCCACCTGTCAGTTCATGCTGACAAGGCCGTAGCTAGATTGGGTTTGAGAAAAGTCTCACCCCCCCCCCCCCCAAATTTTTTTTAATGCTTCAATTTTCGTGTTTTACTAAAGTATTTACACACCTTCACATCGACCATCAGTTGCCAAAGTTAGCCATTCTATCCAAAAACGCCCCCTGAAAAAAATTCCTGGGCCTTGCATATTGCTCGGAGGTAATGAACTACAAGCGAAATTTATTTACAAGTCGGTTATCTAAACTGGAGTACAGGTCTGACAGACTGCTAGAAAGGATGTCCAGAGATGTGCAGATGCGGCCGGTACAAAATAAAACTTCTCGCAAAGAAACCATCATACTCCTAAAAGAATCTCCCAAGAACAATACAACCTGATCACCACTTTTGAAATATGCTTGGTGGAGCGAGGGCACGTTTGGTGATAGCATACACAAATAGATTTTTGCACCTGAAACAGCATTGCTGCTTTATTCGTCATTTAAAATCTGAGACAAAGAAGATGTGAACCCAAGAACTCAAAACAGCATAAAAAGCGAGCACGTTGTTTGGGCGAGCCATGATGGCTGTCGAAAGAGTTTGAGCCGTGACGTCATCGCAGCGCTACCCTTATTCTGAGGGCTAATATGAAAGCACAAAAACAAAGTGGTTTCTCAGCACTTTTTGAAAATCACTTGGATTCTTGAAAGACCTTAGAACCTGTCTCTTAGTGGTAAACAAGCAGAGTGCTGCCTCATGTCTTATTTCTTTTGCTGTCAGGACTTTCTCGCAACCCAGTTGATGGTGCAAACCACAGAGACCAAAATCCTGCGTGGCCGTGACGGACGAGAAAGGAAAGTGGAATATAGCTTGGATGACAAGGTGAGCGGGCCATCAGATGTGGCACTGCTGACGGGCACTGCACACTCATCACATGGCCGCTCCTCAGTTCTGAATTGAGCAATTGCATCTCATTCATTAATGGTGAACCATTATTGGTTGCCTGGAGAGACAATTGAGTTATGAGGCATGTAGGATATCCCAACTATTTCACACCTGTGCAATTTGCCTAATTCACATTTTTCCCAGGTGCTGGAAGCTTCAGTGTGGTGGGTGGTTCAGATGCAAAGCATTTGATTGCAATTTCTAGAAGCTTGTCATTACAACAGCTTCTAGCCAATCGAAAGAAGCTTAGAGGAGTCAAGACTTGTCCTGCATGATATAGTATTTGCCATGAAAGCACACCCATATACTTGAACCTGAGCTTCACTAGTTGCTTAAAAATGTGATGTGGGCATTACTTGGACTGTATTCTCCTTTCACTTTAGTGTGAGCTGGCCTTTAGTTAAATCTCTCATGTGGCTAATGACATTTTTCTACTGGCTTGATAAGTTGCCTGCTAGTGAAGTTAATATCACCAAAAGTGACTGATACAGCCTCTGGTGCCTCTCTCTTTCTCATAGCAAATTTTAAGTCATGTTGAATTGGTGACATTCGCTGCAGATTCAAATTGCGTAAAGGGGAAAAGGAAGGTAGCGGAAACAAGTAGAAACAACCAAGTTTAACTCAGAGCGCAGTTCAGAGAGCTGCTGAATGAAGGAGGGAGGGCGGGGGTACATTCTTATAATGAAGCAAAAGGATCGTAATAAGCTTCATTAGTCCCTTTTATTAATGTTGTTTATATAACACACAAATATATGCAAAATCACACATGATAGTGATTTAATAATTAGTACCACGTTTTTGTTAGCCATGTGAGCACCAATGGCAGTACATGATACTTACCCAAGTAGCCAGGTCAGCATAGGGCTTCTTTTATCTCATGCCAACAGGTGGAGCACTTGGGAATTTATGTAATTAATCAATGACCTTTAGTTCTTTTAGAGTTTGGTAGAATCTGTTGGCTGCTGATTTATTTTTAGCCACCAACTTGTTATTGTTAAAAGTAAGTGTTGGTAAAGATCATCACCCTTTTAGTGTGTCTAGGTAACTTTTGATTTTCAATGATGAAAACCGGCTTATTGAATCTCCTCTCGTGCTGGAAGGAGGCGCTGTGGGAATGCCGGTACCTTATGTATCACAAATAAATAATAGTCCTCCCTATCAAGTGCTACACGGTTCCACTCGGGCAGCCTGCAGCAAGGGTACTCATGGCCAGAGTGGTTCCACCGCTGGAATAATGTTTCGACACTGCTACTTGCACATTTATGCAGAGGACTGCAGTGAAAGGCAGCATACTTTTAATGGTGCAGTAGTCTTAATTCAAGGATTGTATAATGTCCTGCTGATGCAGTTGTCATCCATTTGCTTCATGTGTTTATTGTAACTTTCTCCCAATTTCGTGATTGCGCATATTTGCACTGCTTTCTAGCGTTCTTGGAAGTTTGTTGTTTATGCTGTCTGCTGAAAATGTCACTCTATATGCCTTTTGCAGCCTGAAAACCTGCTTCACTGGTTGATTGGTGCAGTTGATTGTGGCTCTGACCTTCAGCTGCGTTATGTTGTGCTTGTTGTGTTTGTGGAATCGGTGTGGCTTGGGCACATGACCATGTGCCATCATTGAAACAAAATAATTCATGCCTGAATACTAAACTAAGATCAGTGTTGAAGTAATTAAGGTCTGTATGGCGATTGAATTACTGTAAAGTCTTAAAACTATTGCAGAGCCTTATACGGCATTGTCTTACTCGAATGTAGCTGTGGGAGTAAAAATATAATTAAATTTCTGAAGTGTCTGTTTAAAGGCCAACTCCGATGATTTTTGAGGCCAAATGAACCTCAATGAAATTCACTGGGTACAATTATTTGCACGTTTGGGCCATTCATGTTAAATTGCAGGCTTGAGAGTTTCGCAGATCCTTTTCAAATGAATTTATAGCTTGCCTCCAAACGCTCACCTCGCTTGCCAGAATTAATGGCTACATTGTGTGTTGACTGGTGTGAGGCTGAGTTTTGCCTGGCGGAAGTAATGTGCCACTGCAGCATCTGCTTGTCTGCTATAGATTTTGTGGGTTTTGCCGGCACTTCCTTGGTTGGGCGTGCCATTTTCTTTTCCGTGTTGGTGAGCCTGCGATAGGTGGTGCGATAGGGAGTGGTGTTGCGTTGTTGGCCGCATACTATAACAGCGTAATCGCATTAGCCGATTGACGGTGTGGACAAGTAGTGTCCTCTGGCGGGCATTGTGCGCAATCAGGCAGGTTCGGGCAAACGCCTATGTCACGTCGAAGAGCACTTAGTTGAGTTTCGGTACTGCAGTTTTCTGCTAATTGCAAATTTTTACATATTTGTCAAGAATTTCAGGTATTGGGTGCGTGACAAAAGTGTCTCAAGAACTTAAAAGCACCATTATCCTGGCATGGTATAAAAATCGCTGGAGTTGGCCTTTATAAACATGTCCCATTCATGCTTCATTTATCCCTGATGGTACATAAGAGGTCAGTTGTTCATGTAGAGCTCTGGATTAGTGTGGCTTACAATGCAAGTTGAATTGTGCAAAGTGGAAGGAGTGCGTAATTGTTGTGACATACAGAGAACAGTTCCACATTGCAGTCACTTTGTGCCGTTTTTGTGACTATGAAACATGAAGTTACTTTTATTGTTTTACGATGCGAGAGCTAATTTACACTATATTGCCCCCTATACACTGCACTCTGCATAGGAGGTATCATGGCTCTCACTGCAGCGAACTGTGAATAACTTGCCCCAGTGAAAACGCCGTGCCAGAGATCATATTTATAATACCCAACAGCTTCAGTATTATTTGCAGGTGCTCAATGCACATCCTTTGAACATAAACCTTAGAACATTGGTGAGCATTTTATATAACGCCATTTTAATATTAAGAGAACATAGCTTGAGCATGATGTGCAAAGAACACTGGTGCTCATAAGGCACCATTTGTCGGCTGTACAAGGGAGCAGATGTAAGGGTAGTGTCTTTCTTGGATGCCACTACAATTCAAGATCATTAACAAAGGAGCAATCTCACAAAAGTATGCATTATTTTGTCACTCCCTATTGCTACAGTGACAGCACCTTTCTTGGTGTCATGTTGCATTGTTTCTGCTCTGCATGAACCTGCATGTAAAGCATATGACTCTCCCATAGCTTGACTTTGTGTCATGCTTGAAGTGTTTGTAATCCTGAATTTGTTGCCGTGCATAGAGAACTTTCATTGGGGTTTAATAAGACAAAGTCAAGTGCACAAACTTGTGTGGCTGTGAGCAAAGAAAAAATTAGTTCTTTATGGCAGATGAAGTATCTATGTAGTAGTAGTAACTTATACAGTTTTAGTGTATCTGATCAGTGGCAACACATGAGCAGTGCACATTGCATTACATGACAACCTCAGTCATTACTAGTCGATATAGGGGTCGCTGTGGCACCTACTGCGTTGGCGAAATTCCACAGCACATACACAATATAGTGGCGTTAACATTGCCGTGTTCTTAAAATGACAGTGCTGATTGAAACTCGACTTTTGATGACACTGGAAGTTCTGAAAGAAATGTGCTGTGCTGAAACAATTTTTTTTATGCGAGAAATTTTCGAGCACCATTGATAGATTGAATGAGAAAAATTGAGAAGCTAACGGAAAATGTTTATTGTTCTACTGGTCCTACTATCAGTAGCCTGCAGTATTGGCTTCTTAATGAAAAGACTATAATGCAGCATGTTGAAATTCAGCGTATTAACTGCAGGCATCTATTTATTGGGATGCTAGAATCCAAAATGAAATATTTCACCATGCATGTATACAAAAGTGGTGGCTTATATGTTTAGTGATGTGATCAGTAATACCACACTGTTGTTTCTATTCATGTCGTCTGAACCTAAGCCTTGTTACTGCTTCATTATCGAAAATGGCAAAGTTAGGACTCATTGCTGAGCTGCTGTGTATGTTCTGCAGACACAAGGGAGACCTCTGTACAAAACATTACTCTTCAAAACCTTCATAAAACAGGAGTAACTAACAGTGAGGGTAGCTTTCATGTTGGAATGTTTGCACATTCCAAAATGGAAGTTCTGAAGTATACAATTCAGACTAATGTGTTGCATTGTATCATGAAATCCGCTGCCTTTTCCATTGTATAATACTCCTTTTTGAACACATACGTACAGCGCACACGTACAAAATGACTTCATGCTCCAGAAAGGCCAACATTTTAGTGGTGTGTATGATCTGGTAGTGAAAGAACTTTCCTATAATGCAGTGGTATGTGTGTCATTGTCAATATAAAAACATTGGCTGATCTACACAAAAGTCAGACTATAGCTGCAGAAACACAGCTTTTATGCAACGTAATACTCTATGCTCGTGTGGAGTATAAGGTATTTTTTTTCTTTGGTATACATTGCATGTTATCTGTTTTGCAACCCAACTGTAATTAAGTTGGTGCATACAAATAGGATGTCAGCGATGAGATACTACTGCACTAAAAAAAAAAATTCTTGCTCAATTGTAGTCACCCAATCAGAATAAGGTAACTGTGTCACTATTTCTGCATACATAACTTTTTTTTTTACAATATGATTAAATTTTGTCAGTAGCCTAACATTTTCTGTATGTGGAGTATTAGTGATATTAGAGCAAGTGCCTTATGACTTTTTTATTCTACTCTGAGGCTACTTGAGGTACCGCTGTAAATCTGATAGTCATGGCACGTCTGACCAAAGCTTTATTTGTCCTGTGCTACTTGTAGTTCTCGTCAGCTTTTTTTGCTGTACCTAGGTTTAGAAATCGAGGTGGAGGGGGGCTAAGTCAAATCGTACTGAAGGGCCAAGGTCAACTTCTATTCATGCTTACTAGGTTATTACAGCTGTCACAAGCATGGTACTAAAGACATTGTACAGTTTCGTCTCCTTTGGCCAACATGTTTACTT